TTTTTTACTGTGATCACTGCAAGCTAAAATAAAATAATTCACATGACAGTTCTAGTTTTGAAGCTCCTGATGAATAGCTGGAGGGTTTTGCAGCAGGAGTCTTGAAGAAGAGGTTAGAAAATCGCGATGTTCCTTCTCTAGTGATATGTACCATAACATTTTCCATTGCTGCATAATCTATGTGGCCAGCACTAAATATTGTGATTTGGTTAATTCAGGGATGTATGGCAAATGTAATTTTGTAGTCTGGCTTTCTTAATAGGTACTACAGCAGGAATGGCTTTCTCTAACAACAGGGCGCCTATAATGGTTAATTGCTGGTGCTGCCAGAGAAATGGTTTCTTGTTATTTTGTTAACCCAAGGAACTGAAGATAGCTCCTTTAGATTATGCAGGAAACTAACAAAGTAGGGATACGTTGTAAATGCCAATTTCTTCTGCTGTTACGAGTCCTCAGTGGCCATCTCACTGTAGTTGGTGACATATTACAAGTATGTTAAGATGTGATTCAAGGGATCAATCTGATGCCATCCATAACTGATTGCATAACATGCCTCCCAATGGAGAAGTGAACAAATAGAATTTTTAAAAGAATGTTATTAAAGAGAATTTTATGTCATTTTTTTGCATAAAACATTTATTGAGGTTGCTGAGTGTATGTGACAGATGGTGCTCTTATGTCACATCCTATCTTTCATTTTGTTTTGGAACATGCAAGTCTTCCATGCATGCATAATTGCATTACAACATTGTAGGTTTTTTTTTTTTTTGTGTACTCAGTGAAACAGAAAGGAATAATCCAATATGAGATCTTTAATGGGGGGTTGTGCTAGCAGTGCTGTTAAGCAGTTCTCTTTGGTGTTAAGTGCTGGCTGACTTCATGTATTATGATTTTTGCCTTCTTAAGGTAAACTTGAGGTGTAAAGAAAAAAGTGAGAAGTTATTTCATCAATCTGCTGAATGCATTCAAGTAACTAGAAAGATGATGTTCACTACATAATAACGTTTTTGGCTCCACATTCTGAAGCATATAAAATTAATAGTTCCCTCACAATGAAAGAATGCAGGTATATTTGAACTTCCCGGCTTGACTGCTCTTCAGATGCCAATGCCTTAACATTTTAAAATGTAAGTTAAGTGTCTGTATGATTCTAAAATTGGAATGAAGTAAAATATATCTTAATTTTTATTATACGTGGCATTACTTTTCCCCTTTCGGTTAACTGGAGAGTGAGCTTGAGCCTGACTTGGTTGGAATGTTGCCAACCTAACTTTTATTTATATGGAATCCTGAATAGCTTCTGCTGTCTCTTTTATGTCTGGACTAGTGGATGGAACATACTGGACTTTGCTGTTGCCCTTGGCTTAATTTATCTGTTGTAGTGCTTTTTTAACCGAAGAGCATTTTGCAAGGAATGTAGAGATTATCTGTTTTACAAATTAGGAATGCATGTGAGACATACAGAATATGCAATGCCATGAAGCCGATAATGTTCTGGTCTTATCCCACTTTTAATTATTTGACTTGATGCTTTATTGTTGCTTGTATGGATGAATTCTTCTCTTTAAATACAGTGAACATAAATGAAGGCAGTAAGGACAGCTTTCCTCAGAATGCACAAAAGAGAAAGGAAACACTTAAAGCAAGACTAATATTTCCACTGAATGCATTGTCAGTCACTGAGTCCTTTACTACCTTTAATGCTATTATAGTTGCATAAGTTCACTTATACCTTCTTTTCTTGGCTTTTGAACACAGTTTTCAAAAATCTAATTGACTGAATTGCTGTCCATTGCTGCTCTGGCTTGTGTAGATCAAGGCAATTCCTGCTCAGGGCTGTCAGCTCACTGTATTGACGTGCTGTTGGTTGATGAAATAAGTGGTGAACATGGCTAATTCTGGTCTGGTTTTGCAATGAATGATGTCTTAGACACCGTGTTTAGTATTTTAGAACATTGGTGGAGTAAACTTGAAAATACATATTTTTTATATTTTTGTGTGTATTCTGTGCGTTTGAAAATTATTTAATCTTAATCCTAACCTTCCAGCATTGCAGTGTGTAATATTTTAGTGGCATTTGTAATTTCTTACAGCATCAATGTACTTTGACTTAGACGCAGCCTGACTGATGTTTTATCGTAAGATAAATTAGCCATGGAGGTACCAGAAGTGTAAAGGCAACTATACTGGTGATGCCTGGTAAGCAAAATGTGACAACTTGCCCAGCTAGTTACGCTGCTTAGGCTGTATGAAGAGCAAAACCTCTTCAGAAACCAAGTGTTTTTTTTTTTCCCCTGTAGAAGTATAAAGGTAATGTGAGTAAAATTACAGTCTCGGGCCAAAACCTGTCTAAAGGAACTAAGAGGTGTGTGTGTATCCACTTCTTTATCACGTGTATAGCTGCGAATGTAAAATGCATTGTATAATAGATGGTGGCTCTCAAACAAGTGATAGGATGTGATCAGGCAAAATGGGTAGCACGTGACTTATTTCATGCAGCAACCTTCTACTTGATTTCCTGTAGTTACGGTGTATGTTATATAGTTTTACATGATGAAAGCTAAAGAATGTAGTATTTCTTTTTTAGCTTGGAGCATGGCTTTGTAAGCCCCGGTGTACCTTTTCATTATGTTGGATCATAGTTGGGTTATAAGGAACAGGCCAGTTAAACGTCTTCCACTTGTTCTTTGTATCTCATAACGGTATATACTGGGCATACTAATTTTACTTGATGTCACAAGTAATTGCTGCTTTTTGCCTGGTTTAACAACTGTGTGCTGAACCATATCTAGTGCAGTTGCTTTTGCCCCGCCGTGGCCACTCTTTGACAGGATACTAATATGCACAAAGGCCATAAGTTGTGGTTTGTAACAGCCATAAACTTCTCTATAGCACTTCTGCTCATTAGGACTCAAAGTTTCTTGAATTAACTCATTGGATATTAATTAACATAATTCTTGTTGGAGTTAAAGAAGATCAGCTAATGAAAAATTATGCTGAGGTGTCAACCATGTTAAAATTCGATTATAGTCTGATCCTTGAGACTTTCAACATTATGTGGCACCATGTTTTCAGCTGACAAATCTGCTTTGATTAAATAAATTTTGAATAATGTTCAGGTTCTTTTTAACCATTTTGAATACTTTATTTTCTGTTTCTTGTAATTCTTTTGTACCAAAATACATGAGGGAGACTTTTTTTTTTCCTCCCTTTATGCGAATACCTTTTTTTTTCTGTTGTGTATTTTGATGATTCCATATTTTCAAGAGCATTGTTAATTACTTGAACAGTTATGATACAAGTATGGTGACATCCAGTTTCTTGGTGGGTCAAGTTTCCAGTCCTTAAAAGTTAACTTGCTACCAGGTGATGATTTTCTGATTGGCTTTCTGGAGTGAGAGTTCTGTGGCCTGGAAGCTGGATGTTCCTATTGCAGATTTTGGTCTATTTGCTCCTAATTGACAGATAAATTCTTAGTCTTATCAAAAGGGCCAGGCCAGAAAGAGACTGTGGAGCCTGTAACTCATGGCTATTGGTGAAGGGTTCCCTGCTCTGTGAACAGAGTGTATTATTTATAGTATATATTATAAATAATGCATATATATGCTATATCTTATGAAATGGGTGCCAGTCTGTAACTGACCAGCATCGAAGTGTGTGTAGGGAGTGCGTTCACATGGTTGTGAGTAGTTTTACCTGCTTGATGGGAGGTCACATACTCCTGCAACTTTAGAAGGAATGATGTAGAAGGCGCTTTTTTTTTTCTTAACCATGAAATTGAGTGAGTGTGGCTGTGTGGCCTCAGTGACCTGAACTTTGGATAGCATGCTTTTCAGAAAGAACATACATTTTGAGTACCTGTGCAGCAGAATTATAACAATTCTTGGACGTGGGCCATTGCTGCAAGAAATCAGCCCGTGTTGTGTAGAAAACAGTTACCAGTGCAGCAACAGCCTGTAATGAAGGGCTGTAACAGCAGAGTGGTGTGATAAAATAGGGTGGTGCTGGGCTTTGGAGATTTTTTTTCCTTTTTTTTCACTCAGGTCCTTGGAACTTTCTCATGCTTCCACCTTCCTTAGATATGCATGTTTAGATATGAAGCCTTTTGGCCTCCTGTGCATCTGCCTTAACAGAGAACAGCAGACGGAGTCTGTCAGGTCAGAGCAAGAGCAATAGGCCTGATTCTTCCAGAAAGTAGCTGGATTTCTAAGCGAATTTTCAAGTCCTTAATGGAGTTTGTTAACAATACTTTATCTTTTGGTTGGTCTGTCCTTTTCTAATGGTAAAAATATATAGACGATTTTATGATCTCCCTGTGTCTTAAGAAAGAATAACTAAACTATTTTTTTTATGTGGATATGAAGGTTTTCCCTCCCATTTCTCCCTTTACTGTTCTTATTCATAAGCTTCACAGGTGTGGAAGGAACTGCAAGACAGCTAAGGAAGCGATAATAAAAGTGCAGATGTGCTGGATTTGATTTTTTAGCCAATGTGATAATGTATCATTGAACCACAGCTCCAGTTGGCCGGTCTGTTCAAAAGCATAATTAGATCTCTTACCCACAAACATCAGAATAAGTCAATGTGGCATTGTTACATCCCCACAGAGCTTGGAAATTATGAGAGTAAATCCTGTGGTGGCGAGGTAAAGGTTCCTTTGCTGCAGTTATGTTAGGAAGCCATGTGGGGAGGGAAAAGAAGGGGTAAGAGGAGAGGAAGTCCCTAGCAAATGTGACTCATTAAAGGAGCTGTCTTTGTACGAAGGAGGAAGTTGGTGAAAACCAAACCCAGGGAGTGGAAGAAGATTTTGGCTTTACGTACACTCCCTCTTCTCCTATACATATCTTCTAGTTGATTATTTTCTTCAGTTCCTGATGTTCCTGTTGGAATAAAAGTAGGGTCCCTTGCTAAATGAATTACATCAGTATGCAAAGTGTTCTTTCTAAGCATGCAAAGTGTTCTTTTCCTAACATGTCTGCTTTCATTTTGTTGTTTTTCAGCTGTATCTTGTTGGGGGATCTTTTGGACTCCGTGAATTTGCTCAAATAAGATATGATGTCCACAAACTACATGGCAAGGTAGTTGAAATGGTTTTCTTTACTTTTCCATCTCCTTCGGTGTATATACTGTCTTCTAAAGGATTGCTAGGACAAGCAAACTATGGGTATTGGGGATTTGCCTCTTACCACTGGGCCAGCTGATGCTCTTCGACAGTGAGTAGTGCAGGTAGCAATAAAAGACCTGACATGATGGTGAATCCTTTTACTGGCTGTGAAATGGATTAATGTAAATAATAGAAAAAGTTTGTGCCTTTGGTTGATTATAAGTGGCAATTCTGAATCCTGAGAAAGAAGTGTAGCATATCTAAGAAGGAGATTATCACAAAGGTATTGTATCTGATTTTGACTAAGAAAATTGATATTTTAACAGGTTCTGTTTTCAAACAGTACTTGGCATTGAGTATATAATGTTAGATGGTTTTTGGAACTTGGCTTTGCATTGACTCAGACAACCAGATACCTTTAACATTGTGTTACATCCTGTTCTTTAAGCTCTGTGAAAGAAACAGGAGCTAGTCTTTACTCAGTATGTCAGAATGTACTATATGGAAGAAGCCTTTCTTTAAACGAACTGGAAACCTTCTGAATGAGGGAAATAGCTTGCTTACTGGTGCTACTTAACCTCCAGCTGTAACACTAGTTCCAGTTATATATGAAGTGATCTGAAAGGAGCATGTCAGTTCAGCAGAAAGTAATACTGACTTGCTTTCCCTAACTTTGTAATGTGCAGGTCTGCCATTGCAGTGCAGAGAGACTTTCTGGTCTCAGTGCTGCTCACTTGCAGGTGGCATGAAGCTATTTTAAAGACTATATGGCAGTTTATATAAAAGAATTCTGTGTAAGAGTCTGGATACTGTGGCTTTCTACTGTGATCTTTCTACTTGTTTTGTCTTAGACTCTTATTGCGAGCCATCTAAATTATTTTAATCCTTCCTCATTGTTCCTTGTGTTGCATACCTGGCTGTGGCTGTTGAAGCACCACGTTCCCCATTCCTGCTCAGTCCCATATTTGACATAGCCCATAGACAGGGGAGAATAATCTTACAAATCTTTCTCCAGTGCTGTCTTCTGGGTAGTTATTTTCTATCAGTCCTGGGCTTTTAGGTCCAGTTGGAGCCTGTAAGTCTTGCTCCAACCAGATGGGGATCACAACAGGGGCAAGAATTTGCCTGTTGTGTTTCTGTCAGTTTTTTGGTCAGATTCATACTTAGTGAATTACATTTGAGCTGCATGAACAGCACTGTGACCGCAGCCCAGGAAAAAAAGGCAGTTATAGTTGTGCTCATTCAGATCTATGAGGCTCCTTGTCCCAGCATTTATAATCAAGGGAAGCATCATTGAATTAGACAGTAGTACATGAAAGCTCTGAGGGGAAGCTACTACATCCTGGAGTTCTTAAGCTCTGAAAAGCTAAAAGAGGACATCTGGATTCTGTTCTAACCAGTACTACATAAGGCTGCAGCATCTATTTTGTGTTTTCTTTTTCTTTTCATTACGATTTTATTTAGGAATAGATGAAATTTAAATGAAGAACAATGCAGTATTGGCTGAGAACTAGCACACCGACGAGACCAACTGTCGTTAGTAAACAGACAAATCAAAGCAATGTGTTCCAATAATTTCTGGTTTTATGTCCATAAAAATAAAGTTAAGAACTATTTTAATTCATTATATTAGACAGTAGAAGACATTAGAATGTATTTTAACTGATAAAGAAGAACAAATCTAGTTTAAAATGGACTTGAAACTCAGGAAAAGAACATCACATAATTTAAAAATGCTATTAAAGATCCTGATGGTCATAATATCTGTTTAATTTGTCACTGGTTGAAATGTTTTTGTGTTGGAGTAGAATATGCTTTTCTTGTATAACACACTTGGACTTGCATAAGTCCTTATCAGAACAGGGATGAGTGCTCCTTTTTGGGAGGTTGGGCAGTTACATGTGAATTGCAATAAGCAATAAAATAAATAGGATTATTTTGTTACAGTTGCTCCTTTGGAATAATAGCAATGTTTAATTAAATAACACTTTTCATACAAGGAGCTCAAAAGACTTTCACAGAATTTAAATGAATTAAGCTTCATAGCCTTACTGTCAGAATAGGCAGGATTATTATTTCCATTTTATTGCTGAAAGTTAAGCAACCCATCCAAAAGTAGGCTGGGATTTGTAATACCTGAGTGCCTGTCTTTTTTGATCCTGTTTTAAGGACGTGCAAGCTATAGTGTGCCCCCTTTTGTAAGCATGACTCCTAAACTTGTTTTCTTACTAATTCAACTGCTAGATAGACAGAACTTCAGCAATCCTTTTGTGGTATATCTCTACTACATTTCAAATGCTAAACTATGATCCCTTCCCTTCAAAAGTATTTGTGCTTTTCCTTTCTCAGTCTAGCCATTCTCATTGTGCTGAGAGGGAAAGCACATTAATAGGCAAGTTCTCACTTGACAGGGATATTTCAAAGAAAAGTGTAATGGTATAACTGGTGTCTGTGTTTTGATGACTAAGGCGTTCACTGCCACTTTCTCTCTGTGTTCTTGTGGTTTAATGAGCGAAAGTTGCATTAGTGATAATGCCTGTGATATTAATGTCAAACTGACTTTTGAAGAATGTTTCTTGACAAAGGAATTAAAATTCAAGAGAAAATGGTGGTTTGGACTTTTGAGGGAGCATGGTTAGGTGGTGACGTGTTGTGCTGGGGCGAAGATCAGGGGTGGGCAAGAGACAGAGCCTAGAGCTGGAGCCAGAGTGGGGCTCGGAAGGGGCTGCAAAAGGAGTTTTGTCTTCTTGTTCATTTGGGCCATGGCTTGGGACCTTGGGCTGAGACTCAGCTGATGTATAGGACAGAGAGACAGAACGTAGAGCTGCAGTTAAAGAGGGGCTATTGGCATCTCAACAATAGATATTTAATCCATTTAGTATAGCATCTTGAATATCAGGGCTTTGTATATGCCCGTCTCTTGCAAAAGCAAAAAAACATTTGGGGTACACCTTAATTTACTCAGGATACTTAGCTCAGTCATATTCCCTCAGCACACTGAATGTTCTTCGTTTAAAGTGAATTTATGCTGAGACTCTTACTGATGTAAATGCCTGTTGATGCTAGTTAAAATTCTCCTGAAACTAATCAAGGATTTCTCCATTATCTATTGTTGCCAAAATGTCCATTAATGGAGAAATCATTAGGTTATGTAATTGTTTCTTTTCTGGGAAGAATTTATGCAAATCAAAACCTGTTCTAAAAAACCAGGTATGCTTATGGGAAAATCACATGGGATTAATGGAGAAGAAACGAGTAGGTTTGTGTAGGCATCGCTCCAAATGCCTTTATTCTCAAATGGCAAACTAAGCCCTTTCTTTGTCTTGCTTCTCGTTGTGTGTGTAATTGAATAGAGATGCTTATTCAAGGAGGTTTTTTTACAGAAAATGTGACTTCTATTAAATATACAGAAAATGTTTCCTTTCAACTCCACAATAACAAATTATTTTTATTTACTATTAGCCCATTGTTGTCATTCAAGCCATGGTAGAGACTTTCTGACTCGGGTCTAATTTTATGTATAAGAAGCTCGGACATTTGGAACGGTCTGTGCTATTGGCTGATAATTACTGTAGAGGGTTGAAGGGAAGCAGTATATTAACTACCTGGGAAAATCTAGGCTTTCAGCTCATCAGCAAACCATTTAGACTAGTAAAATATAGATTGTAAGCTCCAAAACTGCTTTGTTGAAGAAGTATTATTGTGAGGCAGGTTCTCAGAGTATGGGGAGGGGGATAGGACTGATAGGACTGAGCAAGTCCCCCCATGATAACATGCAGCAGAAGCTCTTCTAGGAAAGCTAGAATCTCTAGGTCATTTTGTCAGGAGACAGAACATCAGTTGGCCTTTGAAGTCTGCAAATAGTCCCTGCTGTGGATTATGTATGATGGTGTTACTATGCTGACCTCTCTGCTGTTTGCAAACTATGAAGATGCTGTTTGTTTTTCCTTTGCCCTGTGCAAAGCGAGTGCACCCTGGAAGTAGAATGCTAAGAAATTGAAATAATAATGTTTTCTGTCTTACTGAAGCACAAAGTAGAGGCAGTGGAGTCACAATGACAGAAGTTCAGTCTTTTCTCCAAGATGAGTTTCACCCTTGAATCAGCTGTTGTGCATTAAAATATGTATGACCATTGCATGGCACTCCAGGAGTTAAAATCCAAGTGAAAATGGAGACATCTGTCCTGTTCTTTCGGAGCACCATCCTCTATGAGCAATAAACTGTAAACCCAGAAAGAGTATCAAAGGAGCGACGGTGGTGGTGTGAAGCATACTCACTAGTAAGTGTGCTAGGAGCATCAAAGTTGCTTTATGCAGACTGAGTAGATTGTTTTTAAAATTTCTGTAAAGAGTATAGCAGTGTTTTGAGCTCCTTAGCTAGTCTTTGTGACCAATTGTGTAATCTTTGTGTAGTCATGTCTCACCCATGAGACATTACTTGTAGACTTCTGCAAGGTGTTAGTATTGACATTGTCAATACTCATTTATTGCATTTACTTGATGTCTTGGAGTCCTAACTCATGAAATGATACACCTGTGAGGATCTCAGCTTTCATTTTATAACATAGACCTTGGAGTTGGGAAGAGAAGCACATACGGTGCATAGAGGATTATCCTGGAAGCCTTGCTTTCATTTGGAGAAGAAAAAAAATGAGGAGTGGAAGAGAAAAGAAGGCTAATACGATCACTTGTGACACTACCATTTTACTAGTTTACAGCTGTTCTCATAATTGGGCTTGATAGTGATTTAAGTGTGTTGACTGTCTGGGTGGTTATACTTGGTATGATGGTCTTAGAGTATTGTTAGTGGGTCTCTAGTGTTGTCCTTTGACATTGCATCTTGAAGCTCATGAGTGGGTGTCAGGGGACCCACGGCAGCATGCGATTTACATAAAATTTCCAATGAGATCAGTGGAGGTTATTTCCAGCTTGTTCAGGTTGTTGCTTCAGTTCCTTCCTCTACCACAGAGCTCCTCTCTGCCTCTGAGCAAGACACTGAATTTTAGTGTCTCACTTTCTCAGTCTGTAAAAGGTAGATAATTAATGCTGCTCTACTTTATGTAGGGAACAGGAAAGTTAATTAATGCAAATAGAAGGAATTATTTAAATTCAAATGAGTATTTAAAAAGTATTTCCTCAGGTGATATCCATTAACTGAAGTGTTTTGGGGCAGAGTCAAATAGTTTAGGAGGCAACAGGAGCAGAGAACTGACCAGTTTCCATGAGGCCTTTATATCAGAGGAGAACATAACTGGTGTTTGCCTCAGGATGGTCCGGGAAAGCAATCCAGCATTTTCTCATTATTATAAGTGGATAGTTGAGAATTAAGTGGTATCTGTCTATTACAATGTTTTTGTGTTGCAGTTGAAACATTACTCTAGTTCACAGACATACTGTGTTTTTTTTCAAACTGTTGAGATGGTGACAACTGCAGCAGCACATTGTTTAAATGAGGTTGCAACATCCACCCAAGAAGGGTGTAAATTTGTGAGTGAGTGGACAAGACTGTGCTGTTTTGCTGGCTGGCACATTCCTATTGCTGTCGTTATGTGAACTAGCTCAGGTGTGTCTACAGGAGTTCCACACATCGACGTACCCTGAAGTATTACAACTAAAATTGTCTGTTGGTTGTTGCTTCTATTTTACCTGCCTATGAATTCCAGCTGGATAGGATTTCTGTGCCCCAGCAGAAGTTGGGTTTGGTTTTTTTGGTTTGTTGTGTTTTGTTGTGGTTTTTTTTCCCCAAAAAAAGAAGCATTGCAGAATTAAATGTAATTTAAATGATTATTGTAAAGTTAGTATGGTTTCTGAACAATCTCTCATGTTTCTAAATGTCACGTCAATTTCTTCCTTTAAATAATATCTTTCCTGTGAGGTAAAGATTTGAAAAGAAAGTCACCTAAACATTTGAATATGTCTGTACCATTTAAAATTACACAAATAGTGATGGTTTTTACTTATAATCGTGGAATGTCAGTAGATTGTCCCCATCGTTAAAGATATTGTGAGCTACTAGTGCTAGATAGAGCTGCTTTATTGTAAATTGTCTTGTTTATCTTATTTGAGGACCTGCATCTGTGTTAGAAAGCAGTATTTGCTCTATTTGCAAAACTATCACAGATACTAAGAATTTCACTAAGATAGCAGACAGTATTGAAGCAGGATGTGAAAGTGTGTTTTTCACTTTCTTTCCCCAAATTGTTCAACTGACTGAAAATTTCAAGGTGTTTTTATTGCAGTTCTTAATGGTTAAGCATCCATGCTTGAAATCCTATTACACCTTGGTGTTCCCAAAGATCGTAAGTCTGACCAAAACTTGACTGACTTCCCCATTTTGAGGAGTGATTTGGATAGGCCCAGTCTTTGTGGTTGGACTGGGCTGGCCAAGTCCATGGTGGTGTAGTTTGTTCTCATGACAACTAATGGACTTAATGCTATTGCTGCCAGCTCAGGTCGTTCCATGCACATAGTTATCTTCTGTGTACTGCAGCCTTTCGGCTTGATTTTGTTCCAGATGGATTTAGACTCATCCTCTAGACTTCCCAGTGTGCCAACAGCCCCTACGAATGCTAAGGTCAAGTTAAATTAACATTGTTACTGCTCAAAATGCTCTAAATGATTTATTTGTATTATTAGAGTTAGGGAAGTGAGATTTCAACACTTGGTATCTGCTGAGCTAAATCTAAATGTGTGTTTGTGGTGCTGTGCCCTGACTCAGGGATTTGTCTTGGTCATGTTTTCATTTTCTTAAATGAAATGCCTAGTTTGAGATAACTATCCACGCAGCCCATAGAGATGGTTTGAGAGAGAAATGCCTCCATAATGTGCTTCATTCAATTTAAAAAAAAAGATCCTTGAGAAATACATTGTTGTCTTTTGACTGAAAAGTAGAGAGGTTGAGCTCAACATTTTATTGTTACCACATTTCAGCAAGCTGCGTAGTATCCTTAGTGTATGAATACATTTATATTTAATTTGACTAGAGAATGGAGGGTGGGATAAACCTCTGCCTAACTCCAGGTGCAGACAAGTTAGGTTTTTGGACACATGTCTTAAAGTAGGATTTATTTTATCTATACATGCCCATCTCTATTCGGGTGACTGCAGGACGAGCCTAAGTAGAGACTTTATGCTTCAACTCAGAAGTTTAGATGGATGAAATTAGGTGATCTGAAGCCCACCCTAAATATTCTTTCCCCAGAGCTTCATATTGTTTGTGTCTGAGGTGTCTGTGATTGTGGAGAGTTTCCTCCTCATAGGAGGTTGTATTAAAAACATCCTGTTTGATTTGAGCGTGAACAAAATTAGAGTATCTTTAATTGGTGTCTGGTGTAATTTTTTGGATGGGAAAGATATCCTTTCTAAACTTGTCAGCAAGGGAACGTGGAGTCATTTTAGCATTTGTCACTGAACTTGGAAGAATAATTAGGTCTTCTCATCTAGCATTTTAGCATTTATTTATTTATAAATGCATCTTCATAGATTTAATTGGCTTCAGTAAGCTAATTACACAAGCAAAGTGTGGCAAGGGATTGATGGTGGTGATTATTGTTTTCTTTTTTTTTTTCCTTAAGCAGGTCAGTTTGGCCTGAGTCTCAAGTCTAATGAAGACAAACTTTAGCTAATTTCCCTGTATAAGTAGATTTAGTTGATTTTCAAAGACTGAATTCATTAATGAGCTTGGCCTTAGGTCGTGCAAAAATTAAGAAAATAATACCCTGAAATGTTGTTTGGTGCTTTAGACAATGTGCGAGGCATAGGTTTATAATTGCTTATAGGGAAAAAAAAAAAGATCTTTGTCAGTATTTGTCTTTATGTAATGAAGTGCATTTTACTAAATTAAAGTGGGCCTTGCTTCCAGGCATGGCCTGCTTAGTGGAGGGTTTTAGAATGGGATGTTAAGAGAGGCAGCCTGTCTCCTGATTGATGGCTACGCAGATGCCCTTACACTGTCTTTGTTTCTGTTGGCAGGGGGAATTTGGAACTTGTTACGTCTTTTGACCATGGTTCAGAATCATCCAAGGTAGTAATTTCAGTCCTGCAATATGGCACAGAAATGAAAGGGTAGCAGAGCTTTCAAAATTCTGTATTGTGGTGGTACCAGATGTTCAGACGTCAGTTTTCTTTCTTGTTTCAGTTCAGTCCAGAGAGATTATATGGAAATGAGCTCTTTATCCATGCTATTCTTGAAGATTTTGAGGTTCAGCTGCTACTGTTGGGTTCATGTTTTTGCATTGATTTCAGCAAAAACTAATCAATTTTACTGGAACTCAGATGACTTCCCCACTTAGTCTCTAAACAGCTGCTTACTGAATTTGCTATGATACCAGACAGAGGTGTATGTTTCCGTTTTTCAGACATCCTTTCAGTTTACCATATTAAACACTGTTTTTCTGTAAAACGCAAATACGGAGTCAGTAAGATTTTTTTTTTTTTTTTTGCCCCATTCTGAGGCTGACACTCTGTGTACGCTTTTGAATGGTTTGCAGTGATTGGATCCTCTTACCCACTGCTTATTGTCACCACAAACAGCTTAAAGCACTGCAGGACAACCTGGAGATAAAGTATAACCTGTACCCGCCCTTTCATACTGTCTTGTATCAAGTTGAAAAAATGAGACCAAGGCCATCTATAGCCTGTTCTGATGAAGCCAGGAGACCAGTAAATACCAGAAGACTTCTGTTAAAAACAGGTATGGTTGTTAAAGTTGGGACAGTCTTATTAAATCTGGATGTGATGATGTTAATAATAATAATATGGAGATTATTTTGGTAATACATGTGTTCACTGATGAATAATTAAAGCTGTACTAATTTTTAACTTTGAAATATCTGGGGGTTTAAGTGAATATTTAGTTTCAATCTTGTAATATTGTCCCAGCATAATTTTTTGGCAAGGAATATGAAAATGTATCATTAATGATACTGAGTTTGGCCAGAGACCATAAATAAATATTCAGGGTTTCCATGGCAAAGTGTTTCACTGAAGCCTTGTCAAGTTTTCTTAGTAAGTTTTTTTAATGCAGAAAAGCCCTTACCTATCAGTTTCCACGTATGCAGCAGTTACCACTACTCTAGAAATCACAGGGGTTTTCTGCTGTTCATGCTAGGATGTCATGCTATATCCTGTGTGTAAGGATACATTAATAAGCATCATTGAATCAAAAATGGCTTGACTGAGAGGCAGAGAAGTCTTGTGCCTTTTATAAAGATTGGAAAAATTGGCTTAAAGTTTCAGGGACTTAATACCTGTCTGGATCTAAAGTTTTGATTCTTAAAACTTCCATTCTTGGGCTTCCTCTATGTGTATCACTTTTGGACTGAAGATCCTGGATGTACCAGAAATTCTGCTTTTGGTACCATAGTTTTCATGGTGCTGCATAACTTAGCATCTATTAAATATATAGAAAATCTGTTAGGCTCCATTAAAAAGATATTCCTCAATCTGTGTTAGCTGAGATGTGTGCGCTGCTGTTGAGTTCAACTTGGGAGGCTTCACACAAAACAGAAGTAGGGATGCGGCTCCCTGTGACCTGCTGGTTCAGCCAGAGGGCAGGTGCCCGGGATGTGGAGGAGAGTTTCAAGGCACATCTCCTTTCTCTGGGAAACATGCAGTAACCATTAATTTGTAGATTGCCTGGAGCTGCAGGCATTAGCAGCTTGCCTTTTTAAAACCAATCTCTGTATGGAATGGTTAAGAAATCAGAAGAATGAGGGAGAAAATGTAATGTGATTGTGGCCTAGTGGTTAGATTATATATGTGAAGTAGGGAAAACTGGTTTTTAATTCCCATACCATTTAGAATTTCTGTATTTTTGTCAAATGAATATTTGATATTAAGCATCTAGATGCTGCCCCCCTACTCCCCCCAGATC